GAGAATACGTGAAGAGGAATAAAGTTTGAATACTGCTTCGCTTACTTGTACGAGATTGCCACTCGAGAAACTTTCTTTCTATTTTTTATCGATTTTCCAAGTTATATAGCCAGCCCATTGCCATTTCACTGTAATATACCGTTGGGCTATGTCAGTTACTCTGGTTCTACTGCGAATATTTTCATTTCTAACTTTATCACGTAGAGAAATCCCTCTCCAATTTAAAATATTTACATTTTTTAGATGATAGTTTGTCTAACATAAAAAATAACCATAAACCCAAGAATGTCTTTATATAGATATTTATACTTAGAGAAGCACCATTTTTTAATTTATTTAAATTGTTTGATTTAATTTGATAACAGTGTACCTAAATGTAAGTATCTGCATCTATATTTCTCTCCCCAATAATATTTTATAAAGTCATACTCATAAAAATAGCGTTTTATTGTAATACATAATTATAAAATTTAGTATCAACTAATTAATAAAAATATGCAACAATAAAATTACATAGGTATTAAAAACTATCGAAATCTAAGTAACGAGAGCATGTTCGTCGTTCCACATCTAAATTATATAAAAATGCATTTTTCAATTTCACTAATCAATGTCGCCGCGAAAATTTCTTCTTCTTTGAGCACTTTAAAAATTAATTAATTTAGAAAATAATATTTACAGTTACCAGTGTACAGTGTGTGTTATATTAACTAAATTAAGTGTTTCTAGTCATAAAAATATTTATAATTGAGTATAAACTATTAAAAAACTAATATATATTTGAACGAAGTCACTCCAACACCGACGCGCGGTCCACCCTCGACGATGTCCGAAAATGGACTGCGACAGGGTGACGGAGCATGCGCGCTCGCGTAAATATATTCAATTTCAGGGAAAAATGATATATTCTCTTATAAAACGGGGAATAAAAATAAAAGTCTTAATTAAAAATATAAATATTTTTAAGACCTTTTTTTTTAGTGTAAGAACTATTTAAAAAGCTTGTGCCGTTTTGGAGCAATTTTGCAAAATATGACAAAGATAGGTACTCTTTGGGGATTTTTTTTCTAATAAGGGGTTGACAAAAATACAATTTTGTTCAATTAAAAACATTAACCAAATTCTCTTCTGTTACCTTGTATTTTTCTTTGTGGATTAAATTAACAGTTATTGAGATTTTTTTAATTAAATATCCAAGATTTAGGCATTTCAACCACTGTTAAGGCCTTAAAGCATTCGTTACAAATAGAAGACAATAAGCCAGACCCAAATGAAATATTTAAAACTGTAATAAAATGTACTATCGACCAATTGAACTCAAGATTTGGAGACCTTCATTCTAATAAATTGTTTGCAATAGCTACATATCTGGATCCTCGTTACAAAGGAAAATTTATCAGCGAAGTAATGAAGGAAGAGGTTGAGTCCGAATTGATGAGTTTATTTAATGGTGGAAATAAATCTGCAAATGAGTTTCAAAATATTGACGTTCCTGCAGAAAAACGGGCAACGTTGGCATCACCAGCAGTTGGTCAATCTGCCAATAATTGTAGCAATGTCCAAGCGGTCTTATCAAATATATTATTGAGTATTGATGATGATGATAATAATACATCCGACGAACATGCAGTTTTGTACAACTCTTTTGTATCAAAGAGTTTAATTAATGAGTACCAGAGAGAAATACGGATTTCTATCAGTAACGATCCTTTATTATGGTGGAAAGTGAATACAAAATTTATTTATTTAACTCGATCGCCAATATTTATCGTCTTCACTAAGCTCAGTAGCAAGCGAACAACTTTTCAGTGGTGCTGGCCTTATCTATTTAGCCGTGGTAGAGCCATGCTGCAGCTATATTAGTAGTATAGTTGTAGCGCGAATGTGTCGGCTCGACCGGGGAAGGACCACGCTCTCACAGAATACAAACGTAAAATATTTTGTATTTCGTATGATGAGTGTAGAGAACCGGAGACCCTTTTTACTGGAAATGAGGCATTCCATCTTAGTTCTCATGGGTGGCAACGCATCTGCATTTTGATTTGTAATAGAGGATAGATGTAGATGTCTATGGGCCGCAGCGACCACTTACCATCAGGTGGACTGTGTGCTCGTTTGTCACCCCAATTCTATAAAAAATGATCTATGACCCGTTAAGAAATAGATTGGATGGAGATACGCTGCGAAGGTTTTGTTTATTAAATATAATTTACTTCTCTTGGAGTCACTTCATTTTATTTAACTTTTTGTACTTAACTTTACTGCTAGTAGGTACTGTTTAAGATTTCGATTGTTTTTATTTTTAATACCTAGTTATACACCTACTTTTATTATTTTTTGAACTGATAATAAGAATATAAGTACTGAATAATGTGTATAATTTTCTACTTGCTTCAAAAAGGAGGTACCTCCTCCTCAATTTGACTGTATGTTTTTTTGTGTGTTACCTCATAACTTTTTTCTGGTTGAACTGATTTCGGTGAATATCTTTTTATTTGAAAGCTGGTGCATCTCATGTGGGCCCATATAAATTTGATCAATGTCTGTTCAATAGTTTTTGAGTTATTCTTAATAATATAAATTAAGTCGGTTGTACAAAATTTTTAATTATATTATATTTTATTAGACCTGCCCTTAACACATCTCTCTTCTGCCTCCACCTTCGGTTCCGGTTCCGATTCCGATTCCGGTTCGGATAAACAAAATTTAAAAACTCTGCTTCCGCATTCGGTTCCGATATAACCACTTCCGTAACATCCCTAGTTTATACATATTCGACTCTTAAGTCACCCACGGAATAAAATGAAAGTCGCTACCATACAGCACTATTTTTATTCAAAACTGTGTACATTCCAGGTAGAAGAGTGTAAGGGAAGAGAAATTGTGAAATAAATTTACATAATAAGGCGAGTACGTAAGTAGGGATGCTAACTCCCTATACTAAAATAATTTACAACGATCGACAATAACTAAGTAAAGCACCATAGACTACATACATACACTTCGGCAAATTGTACAGAAGACCGAAGAGTACAATCTGCCACTTTGGCTTGCGTATGTGGACTATGAGAAAGCTTTTGATTCCGTAGATATTTGGGCGGTGCTGCAGTCCCATCAGCCGTGCCAAGCTGACTGTCGGTATATCGAAGTGCTGAAGTGTTTGTACAGTAATACTACGATGACTATCCGAGTACAGAGCTAGAGTACGAAACTATCCAACTGCAGAGAGGTGTAAGACAGAGTGATGTTATATCCCCGAAACTCTTCACCTCTGCATAGGAAGAAGTTTTCAAGCTACTGGACTGGAAAGGATACACGATATTAACGTCAATGGCGAGTACATCACACACCTTTGACTTTCCGACGATATAGTCCTTATGACAGAATCGCTGGACAGCCTAAACACTATGCTCAATGGCCTCAATAATGTCTCCCAACGGATAGGTCTTAAGATGAACATGGACAAAACAAAAATCATGTGTAACGTCCATGTCACACCTATGCCGGTAGTTGTTGGGAGCACTAAGCTCAAAGTTGTTGACGAATATTTTTACCTGGGATAAATAGTCCGACTAGGTAAGTCCAACTTCGACCGAGAGGTCAATCGACGGATTCAACTCGGCTGGACATCGTTCGGGGGATTACGACACATTTTCTCTTCAGGCATACTTCAAAACCTCAAAACAAAATTTGTTCAACAGTGTGTAAAACGAGGATATCCGCAGTAGAACCAGAGTAACCGACTTAGCTCAACGGATTAGTAAGCTGAAGTGGTAATTGGCCGGCCATATAGCTCGAAGAACCGACAACCGATGGAGAAGAAAGGTTCTCAAGTGGCAGCCTCGTACCGAGAGGCGAGGTGTGGAGCATCCGCCCACTAGATGGAGTGACGATCTGGTAAGACATACAGAAAGTCAATGGATGCATGTGGCTCGGGATCGTGCTTCGTCGCATTCCTTGGGGGAGGCCTATGTTTAGCAGTGGACTTGCGATGGGCTGTAATGATGATTATACCTATTACTGCCATTAAGGGGCAGAGTGAGCTTTGAACGATAAGAGACAGAGAGATCAGACCCAAGTGTGAGTTAGATACTTTAAACTATGTTCAATTATAATTCAAATTTTGATAGATAGGATATTGTCTTCTTAACTGGTCCGAACACAAATTACTTATATTTTCTTGTTTGTATCAGCAATTGTCAATAAATTACGTAGCTTATATTCGTATATCCGTATTTTAACAACTAGTGCTGGAATCATTCGTCGAGGAAACCTAGTTTATTTCAAAAATATGACAATGTACCTAACATTACATCCGCAAAAATAATATTTTAGTGCCAATTCCAATGCTGATATAGGCTAAAAACCGAACCTAGTCCGTGATTAAAATTAAAGGTTTTAGACCTTGTAGTCAGATAAATATTACTATTGATTTCACGAAAATTAGTCATAGAAAAACAGTTTTTAGATTTATTTACAAATCGCATTTTATACTTATTGAATTCACATTGTCGGGAGGTTATACTAACGGAAATCGCGAGCAAAAGCGATTACTTAATGACTGTCCTTATAAACCCGAAGCCAGGCTTTTGTTAGATCGACAATGACAGGTCATCGTTGCGGTAATGGTTGTAAACCGCTCATTAATCTTACATTCAACTAACGACATGTCTACCGTTTGCCGTACAATATATTAGAACTTAGTAATTGCTGTTGAGGAAATTGTAATTTCTTTAACGCGAATGAAAAAGGCTTATTCACCGAGGGATTCTATTATGCTTGCAGGCTGTACATAAATATTGCTAGTATTAAAAAAATAAACATCCGTACGTTTAGTAAAATATAAAAATAATAATCATTTTAAATCTATGCCCAACTGAATAGACATATTGATTATTAATTTTTATATAATAGCACACCTGGTTGAAGGCTCATACGAGGGTGAAATGGAAGTTTCTTTACAATGCGTGATTACGATGTGACACTGCAGCACTTTTTACCTGGCACTCATTATCACCGATGTAGCAATAGTCCCCTGATACGGAAGTAGGCGACCAGAGATGCTCGCCGCTGATGGCTGTGTCCGTCCAGTCGGGCGTAGACCGCAGCACTCGAGCACCGGCGCCCGGCCCCTCACTGGTGCGTCTACAACAAACAACATACATCTTATTGGTTTTCCATTTCTATTCGTAACGGCGGAATTTTAGTAACGAAATAAAAGTTTGTTCATCCTAGTATTGTATTAATCCGAAAATATATTTTTGTCACAATAGTATTCAAACCATAAATATGTTCTGAACAACATTTTTATGAAATCACTGGCGACAAACCGTGGTGATCTAGTCTTGGGAGGTAAAATGCACTAGTTAAGTAAAGTTCTTGTCCCTGAACTATCTTCTTTTGAAATTAATCATTGTATTTGGGAAAACGGATAGTTATGCAGGCAAATTATTCCTATTATTTGCTGTACGCATTATAATGTAACAAAAACGCTTAGCTAAAAAATTACATACTATATCAACAATAAAAATATGGCGACTCGCCATAAGAAAAACTTGTTATCCGATAATTGAAAAGATATGGGGGATTTAAATCATTATTAATCACCACTATATTGAAGATTCAAGAACAAAATATTTTCACACACGTCATGTAAAATTAATTAATTTAAATATCGAGGTTTGCAATTCGATTATCTACCTGTATATATATATATATATATAGAAATATGTGTATATATATATATATATATATATATATATATATATATATATATATATATATATATATATATATAGAAATATGTGTATATATATATATATATATATATATATATATATATATTATATTATATTATATATATATTTAAAGTGAGTTTACCGTATTTGCTGCCGTTAGAGCCTTCTAAATTTCAACCAAACCAAAATATTATTTGAAGTCAGTTAATATTTTAAAAATATAAAATGACATAAAGCAAACCAAAGCTCAGACCTCCCCCTGGGAACGGTAAATTCCGTTAATTACCACACCAGAAAAAAAAATTGAGACATAAATTTCAAAGCTCTTACACGAAAATAAAAAAGTTTTTTTTTTTTAATTTTGTGAAGTATTTTAGCCTGTGGTTTAGCTCGCATGGGATTTACTTACACAAGAGGGAAATGGAAAACCAAGGAGTCCTTTGGACAAAAAGGTATCCACCGTCTTTTTATTTTATATACTGACAAAATTATTAATTTTTTGATATAATACACTGCCAAATTTTTAATAAAAGTCATTCAGTCTTTAGCCTTATCGGTACAAGGTATAGGTATAGGTACAAGTTTTTAATTTTATATATTAGTGAGACAACAATAAAAGATGAGAAATAACCTACTACACTATACTACTATATTATACTAAAAAAACTTGTATCAATTTATTTTCTAAAGTTTAAATCTTAGAATAACTAAGCATATTCTAAGGTTAAAATCTATTTGTGCCGTTAATAGTGCTTTTTTGAAAGCATTACAAAACTATGTACTCACACACTATTTAGCGTGCTTTTCCAGACAGATAAATATACTGTATTATGTGTTTATTTGTGAATTAGCACTTTAAACAGTACCAAGTTACTGATAATAATTATTATTCTATATATCATTATCACAGCCAATTGCAGTAGTCATTATTTTTTGACATTCTAGTGAATTTTTAATAATTAAGATTTTTGGCTTGGATGCTTGTCCTTTAAGACATGTCTTCTTTTATTTCAATATCAAGTGATAGTATACTGCTTCACAATATGTTGATGCGTCAAATTGCGAAGCCAGCAGACATTTGGCGATATACACCTAAGCAGATAGACACCTTATCCTGAGATTCACATCACCCTCGGAGCACTTGTTTCACCGTTTCCACTAACACACATGCGCATACATTTAATACACAAAATCACACCACTTTTACATATCAAAATCCACTAAATAATGGTTTGACCATTATTTATTTGGAACAATAATACAGGAGCAACAATCCGCCGACGGTCAAGTTCCCGCCAAAACTACGACATTCTAGTATTAATGTCCCCAGCATAGAGTATATAAATTACTACAGTATAATGTGGTGACGCCTAATGTGGACTAGGTGTCACCAGTGTATAACAATTATCATTGGGCAAATGGTAGTCTTTCGTGTCTATGAATAGGAAATATTACCACTAGTTAAAGGATTAAAGAAATTCTATTTTGTCATCATAAATTAGCAATTTTAGAGATAATTTAATTTTTTTGTTTTTTTCTACAATTCTTCCATTGTACGTTTTATAATATGAAATTTTAAGCAAAAAGATTGTTTGGTTGAGGAAATTGGGGCAGTCAGCAACCAACACTGGACATTTGTTTCTAATGTTTATGAAATGCATAAAGGTTGTATTAGCAACTTAGTGCCTAGGGGAGTCCTCTATCTTGACTATTAATTCTATCGTAAGTACAATTAAAAAAAACTCGCTCATACACGCAAGCAGTCGCACAAAATCGGTTTTATACTACCTGTGCTAATAACATCTACGACAAACACATCACATCGCATCAGCTACATAAATAGTTCCCCGATTAATAAACAACTTACCCTCTAATTTACCTAATAATATTACACGAAAAAATATAGAAACAAAATTAAAATCTTACTTCCTACTTAACGCTGATCTTGATATTGAGAATTGAATTTAACAAGTATCTTTATGTAATCACCTAAGTTATCAAAATTACAAACTTAGCCCGATTTTTAAACTACTTGCAACACAATGTAATATTACGTATATTCTATTTTTCTTTATCAAACTTTATGAAATACCGATTTAGATGATGTAGTGTTTGTGGTTTATAGATGCTATTTTCCTTAATATTATGCTTTCGTATTCAACTTCGAAATAAATAAAAATAAAATAAATAAAAATCCTGTCAAAACCAGAGTTTGAGTTGAGTTTGAATGAGTTTAAAATTGAACAACGTAATGAATGCGAACTTGTGTGATTAATTTGCTAACTTTGTAATTGTTCCATAGATACCTTCTCCTTTTTCAATTAATTACTGGCAGTATCAAATAAAAAGAAAAGAATATTTAAAATAAAAGAACAGTGATTTAAAATTCATCCTTCTTTTTTCCATTTTTGTTTCGTACTCAATCGTCATTTACAAGTCCTCTCAAAAACAAATTGGCAAAACTTTATAAAAATTGAAAATTAATCTTTAGTATTGTAAAATAATATCATATCCTTAAAATTGTACTGAAATTTAAAATAAAACAATTGTTGTGCGTTGGTGAAACCTTAAACGATATATTTTGTGAAAATATTAAATATATTTTCAGTTAGGCATTTTTAAAAATGGACTGTGCTTACTGCAACCGTACCATGGATGGATGCGCATCGATAAAGTGCAGTTCATGCGCTTCTCAGTTCCACCTGGAGTGCGTCAGCAGTGAAAACGTGATTAGGAATAATTGGCGTTGCTGTAAGTGTGAACCACCATCTTCGAATGTGTTGGTATCAACGGAAGTTCTCAATACAATTGTACATGCGTAAATTCTGTTGACTTCCATTTGTTTTGGTTATATTTGCGTCTTAATAAATTATACTTTCATTTAAACTTTTGTGGTTTTTTGCTATTAAATTTAAAATTATCATTATTTATGAAATGTTACTAAGGTTAAGGTTAAGGGTAAGTGCTACTTCTGATGGTTTATAAAAAATAACCACGATGGGGATGGCGGGGTCTATTCGCTCACTTCGCTCACTCACTCAAACCCCCTCCCCCCATTCCCTTCTAACCTAACCTGTCCGAGTGGGGGTGACCCAAGTCACGAGCTCGCTTCGCTCGCCCTTGCACTCAACAAAACACTAAAATATTAACTTTTATAATTACTTTAATTTATAAACATAATTTAACGGAAGTCGCCGAAAAACAGGAGAAGGCAGATAAAAAGGTATACGTATAATAGCACATTCACTTAAACTCTGAAGCAACGGAATGACGTAAAGTATATCTGTCACTGTTAACAATATGGCAGGCCTAGCGAACCATTTTACGCTTTTATCATTCTTGAGATGGCTTTGACAGATTCAACGTCAAAAACGTTAGAATTTAGTTAAATGTACGTTCCATTTCGCGATTAGTTAGTGATTTACCAATATTTTAAAAAAATAACTAAAAATACTTCGACGCTGCTCCGGCAGTACCAATCGCATGGGGGTGCTTCAGATATACCCCCTTGAGAAATAAAGGCAGTAACTCACAGGGTTACAGATTGTAATTTTGGCATAAAATAATTTACAATGAGGTTAAAGACCAACATCTAACAGAAAAGTTTTTGGAATGCTTGAAAAAAAAACCAGTTCTTTGCTTACACATCTGTTGTAGCAAAGAAATTTAGAAAACGATGAAATGTAGATCAAAAATGTATATCAAATTACGTCAACTCAATAATGAAATTAGTGTTGGTAATTGCCTGGACATATTCCAGTATTCATAAATTACGCAATAATGTTATTTAAAATCAGGAAATTTAATTTGATTTAAATGCAATACGCAATGCATGGACTTTAATAAGCCGTAAAGGTAACGTTAACGGTACAGTAACAATACGTAATGTTTTCTGATTAAGTTTGTGGTTATTAAAAATCTATACATCTATACAAAAATAAAATTGGAGTGTCTGTTTGTAATGTCAAAATAACAGCTTTTTACTGAATGTATATGAAAGTATGTGCGGTACTTATAACAAAAACACAATTTTTAAATTTGTCGTCTGTCTGTCGACTGTTTGAAATGGTTGAACCGATTTTGATGGGACGTTTACTTAGTCTACTTTTATTTAAAAAAATAATTAGGGTTCTGCGCAAAAAAATAAAAACCTAAATTAAACGCGGGCGAAGTCGCGGGGATCAGCTAGTTAATTAATAATTAAAGTGTACGTGTTGTACTGTACTTGGGGTAAAAAGTTAGAAGAACAAAGAAAAGTGAATTCCGATATGAACACGGGTTTCCGAGTATCCACCCTAGGGTGGATAAACGGAATAGCCCATTGAGAATTGTTGGTCCCATCTTCTTTCTATCTTTACCAACCCTCTAGTAGATATGATAGGCAAGTTAAGAACAGAAGTGATCCAA